TCAGTAATATAATTAAAAGCTAGTATGCGGCCAACGGCACCGCATTGAATAAAGATTAAGTGGGTTTAAAGTTCCAAAATACATGTTGATACAATTTTGACCTGAATTATGGGTAGACCCTGATTAGACAGCATCTTGCTCCATATTAGTTTGCAATAAAATTTAAAAGACACCAAGGGATGAAGAACTTATTGAATCTTCTAAACCAATTATGGTTGAACTTTAGGCCTTGGGTGGAACCCAAAAAAGCCAGAATTTTTTTGTACTTTTGACACAAATTGATAACAATCCTAGACTTAATTCAAATTATAAGAAGAGTCTGCACGGACCAACTCTGCCATCTGAACTTTAACGTAATGCAATTTCATCAATAACTCAGAAAAAAAAAAAAAAAAAAAAATCAATCAATTCAAAAGCTTATTTAACTTAATACTCAAACTTAAATTCCAAACAGTATCTCCAATAAACAAAGAAAGTTTCTGTTTCATATAACTCAAACAACAGTGTCATATTATCCTAAAAATAACAAGGATCGTCTTCTCTAAGGAAATTAATAATCATCCAACAGCAATTTCAGAAAATTATAAAGTATGTTAATATTTGAAGTATTTCACAAAATGAGATAATTCAATATCACTGAAAGCAGAAATCATAGAAACACTCAACAAAAACAACACATTCGTACAGAACAACATTTATTTCAAGAAAAATTTCATAATTAAAATTATCACAAAATTACCTTAGATCCACTGCCTTTAGGCCACCCAATCCCCAATCCACCCCCACCATTACTTGACAGAAGATCATAAATCTCTCATTATAAATCTCCAAACAGTTACTTGAACAAATGTTCCAACCCAATCTCTCCATTCTCATCACTACTGCCTTCCTTTTCATCCCCCAAATGTCCCTCAAAGCCCTGTAACAATCCCTGCTTGCTTAGCACACCCAAACATGTGTGACTCTTGCCAGAACCAGTTGGTCCGTACATCATTATTGTACATTTTCCCCATTTTCACTCCTTTGATTCTTGACTCCACAAACTTCTTGTAAAAGCAATCAAGATCCTCTTCTTCGGATAAGGAAACCCCATCAAGAGTAAATCTCTGTACAATATAGCCTTCAATCTCACGGTTGTTACTGGGTGATTTGCAAGAATGAAAGGGTTTTTCTTTTCTTTGGTGTTTGTAATGGGAAAGTTTCGTATTTCAATAACTTCTATAGGGTGTTCTTGTGGTGGGCTTCTTTGGCTATAGAGTTAGGGTTTGGAGATGGGTGTGCCGGGTTCTCGCTGAGTGAGTTAAGGCGGTGTTTTGACTGCGGGGTTTTGAATTGGGTTTGGTTTGCTTGGAAGATGACGGTGTTGGAGCCATTTTTGGTGAGAGCCAGAATTGTTTCAAGGGTTTTGAGGAAAACTTCAAGATTGATTGGGTATATACCAAAGAGTAGATGATTCAAGATTGAATTAAAATTTCAACGAGTTTAGAGATTGAAGAGAACCTTTCGAAAAAGCAGAGTTCAGACTTGAGAGGGAAAGTGAGAGATAGCTGTAATGGTGTTCTTGAAATGGAAAGAGATGAAAATAATTGTTTTGAAGTTTAAATGAAATATAGCCGTTACAATGCTAACGTCTCTCTGGCGTGGGACGCTTTTGAGGGGTAATGTGATATTTGGTTTATCTCGTGACTCAACAACCTCTATTTTAATTTTTAAATACACCACCTACGTGTCTTTTGACTGTATTTTATTACCAATTAGATTTTACTCAGTCTCACTTTTAAAACAAAATATCAACTTCATTTTACTATAAATGCACAACTACAACAATAAAAAGAATTTTCCATAATTCAATTATTATAATTTATTACAATATTTTCTTTTTTTTTTTTTTATGACTATGAGTGTTTGGACCAGTTATCCCCTAGGATCTGGGAAATCAGGTTGATACAACTTCAATGATCACCCCTATTAGTAATCGTAGGGACTCAAACTTGAAAGATTATATTAGATCATCTTGTACTTTTACTTCGATTGACTCAAATTTAAGGATCTTAAAATATTTCTCTTTTTTACTACAAGAGGAGCACGCCAGACGTAAGCTTACAAATACTTATTCTCTTTCCCACCACTTTTTTTTTTTAATTTAAATAATAGTTATTTTACACAAATTTATAAAAAATTATTAGATTTAATCCAAGATAATAGTAAACTTGAGTGAAGTTATAAAATTATAACACTAATTATTGATCATTATGTCACTCATCAACTTATGTACAATTGAACTTAAATGTAATGAATGAATGGCCAAATTTTTTTATAAATTTGCTAAAAAATTTGTATTATAATATGCTGACCCTTTAAGAATTTATGTTAACTGAAATTGATATCAAAATCTGTTAAAATGTTGTTTGTCTTTTTTTATTTGATGAAGAATAAGGACAATTTAAATTTGAAATTTAATTTGATTACACTTAAAATACATTTAACATCATTTTATGTAAAAAAAAAAAAAGTAAAAATATTATAAAGAATATTGTTAGTTAGTTACATATACAAAATTAAAAAATTGAATCTTCTCGACAGATTCAAGACCGGTCCAATCTGTTAAGGGCCAAGAACGCATGCTTCCGGCCCATTCCATTATAACACTGCAGCTTGGCCTTAATTTCTTTCCCACTTGATAAAAACGAAATAAATGAAACTTCATCACAAGAAAGAAGAAAAATGTGAATCTGGCATGATCGTAGCAGACAGAAACGTATAGGATAAGGATAACTTCAGCTTCATTTAATTAAATGAACAAGATGATTGCACAACACCCTTTCAAATTAAGAGCTGAAATGTGTTGATGCTGTGTTTGTGTGAAATTAATCAAGCAATCCTCGACATTAGGCTGACAATACAATATAGCACATGAAGTGATGAAGAGTACATGTATAATGTTAAGAGTATACAATTACGTAATGGTTTACTTGTTTCTGGAAAAAACTGCTTTACATTTAGTTCCTGTACTACTTTGTGTAATGTCGATCAGAAGTAAAACTAAAATAAAACAATAATGGAGACTAGGAAGAAAAAGAGGAGAACTACAATGGGGCATAGAAGCTGGGTTTTCGAGGGATGGAATGGAATGGACTCTGCACATGCAAAAAACATCAAGAGATCACAAAACTCTAAGCTCGCCTCTGTCCCTCTGGTTATGCGGGTAGCATTGTCAAGGTAGGTAACTTCAAAGTCACCACTTCTGGATTAGATGGAGGCCTTAATGCATCTGGAAGACGAGGGATTCTCAAGGGTGGCAGTTGTGATAGGTTTCGGTTGTCTCACAGTTGTTTTCTCATATATTATTTTAATCTTTGAGACTCTATTCTCCCAAAAGGAAAGGTTATCAGAAGAGCTATCTCTCTCACAACAGAGAATACTATGCAATAGATGCAAAATAATCTGAAAACAAGAAATGAGTCCAAGAAGCACCAACCTATAAGTTCAAATTTGGGGGCTAATGTGGCTGTTCCTTCAACAGAGGCAGAGGCCATGGAGCACCCAATTCAAGTTCAACTACATTATCAAAATCTTTACTTAAGACATCAATTCGTGTGAAAGACCTGAAAACACAACAATGTTCATTTAGATCTTAGAAAATTCATGATTTTAGACAGAAAGTAATTTGCGCACATGGCTGCTTAAAGCAGATGGTTATGGAGCATCTAAGTGATCAACTTGTTACCAGAGGCTTGTTTTTTTCTTAAATTAACTGCCGAATCTTCAAATTAAATGGTTTCAGAGCATCAGAATTGGCATTGATAACATCCTAGGAGTCTTGTGGCTGGTTATTTGCCATATTACCCAAGTGCCATGTCTACAGGAAGTGCTTATAGTTACGTATTAATAAATTTTTTTTTTGGGCCCAACACTCAGGTAAAGTAGCCTTTCCAGCCTTCAAATAAGGTACTAATTATCAAACAGACCAATATGCCAAAATAGATAATGAAAAATCATATTCATATAAATGGCAGACCTGGCTAGAGTAATGGAAGCAACCTCCTGGTGGGAGGTCCAGGGCGACTCCCACCTAGAGTACGAGATGAAAATGCGCTGCTGTACAGCAATATCCCAAGCCCTTGCCGTTTATCAAGTTCGGTTGAGAGATCTAAAGGTCTTCAGCAGCTTCAAGCTCCGGCAGCAGCATCAGCCTTTTGCAGATCATCTGTGTTGCAGCAAGACTCTATTTAGCCAGACACAGCACTCTGTATTTGATCAACCTTTACGTGTCAATAGGCTACCAATAACAACATAATAAAAATATCTACTTATTGATAGGCAATCAAATTACTTGTAACCATGTCACACTAAAAATTTAATGATGGAGATTTGAGTCAGAAACATAAAAGATTCAGAGGTTACTATTCAAACTTTTCTCTACACTTTCAAAGATTCAGAGGTAATCAAAAAAAAAAAAAAAAAAAAAATCATCAGCTCCCAACATCAACTCTTAAGCCTCCTCCACCTCAGAGTCATGGCCTAAAAATCTTGTAAACAGTTCAACCAAAAACTAAACAATTCTGCCTCATTAACAACTTGGGGTGTTTTCATCTAAATTAACAATTCAAACCATTAAAACCATAAATTGCACAATAAGCTGACCCCAAGTAATGAGACAAAGAGTTACACAAGTTATTGTTTCTGTTATGGAATTGAGCGGCTAATTTTGAAACCCAATTATATCCCTAAATTAAAGCGACCTACAAATTTAGCAGTACCTAATAAAAATATTACAGTAAAAACAAAACACATCATTTCTGTTTCTTAATCGAGAATGAATAAAAGAAGAAGTACGCAGTTGAGGAAATGATAGGTTCATCCGGTTAGTAATTAAAAAAAAAAACTAAGCCAAACAGAAGGTTACCAGCAACTTGAGCTCAAAAGCAAATGAGTTCAGTGTTGAAGTCTTCAGATTCAGGAGGAGGAGGATCACAACAGAAGACTTCACAAGGGCTGACCTCAAAACAAGACTTCTTCTTCCATTTTCAAACTGTTTATCATAAGAAGTAAACCACGCCGTTTGAAGATTGAAAAGAGAGAGTTGGTGGGCAGAATACATTTGGTGGGAAGGAGAGGAGAAGAAGAAGAAGAGATGATGAAGCGCAAGAAATTAAGGTTGGAGAATGAAAGACAGATGTTAGAGAAGCCATGTCGGTTTAAGGGTTTTGGGTACACTATGCGAACACTAGAAAATAAAATTTGGTTTTGCAAAATGTTGTTGTTGTTCCAGAGTGTGTGTGGTGGGGTGGTAAAGAAGTGAAAGGAGAGACAGGAACCAATCACATGAAGAAAACTGATCTACTTTTGTCATGTTTCTGCTTCTTCTTTCTCTCCGTAGAATCTTCTAAATTCTAATGCTTATTTTGATACCGCCCAGCAGCCTTTGTTACTGCTCAATTACATGGTATGTGTACAATACGCGAAAGCCCTTTTTTTTTTTTTTTTTTTTTTTTATTATATTTTTCCACTCTTAAATCAATTGGGGTGAATTTTCAATAATATTAAATAAATGAATGATGAGACATCCTCGTTCAAGATTAACAAGAAAGCATCAGATTTAAGATAGATCGACACAATTAAAACATAGATGAGTAGTTATCTTCAGTTGTTAATAGAGGTAGTCATTAGCAACTGAAGTTTTTATCCCACTTTAGTTTCAGGATCCTGAAAGATTAGTTGAGTTGTAGTAAATGGTTTAGACACCCCTGATCATTAAAAAAAAAAAAAAAATTGTGTTAGCAAGATTATATAAAGAATAATGGTATACTTACCATTAAATCATACATACAACTAGATATATAAAACAGGTGTATGACTTAGTTATAAGTATCACATTATTTTTATATAAAAGAAGTAAACTTTTATCATTACGGCTAAGTTTGTTTCACTTTTGAAAATACTATTATTAGTATTTCCAAAAAAGTTAAACAGTAAATGTCTTTATTCCCAAAATATTATTCTATATTTTTCAATTTTTTTTAAATCTCCTAAATTTGTTAATTTAACTAAACACCCTCAAATATTTTTTTTATAAATTGTAAAAACACTCCGGCCACCCTCCGGCAGTGGTGGTCGACTGTCAGTATTTAATGGGTGGATTGGGGGTATTTTTGTTAACTTTTAATATTTTATTATAGGGGTGTTTAGTAAATAAATAAACATAAGAGATATTTTTTTTAATTTTCAAATCCTACATCGTAATACCCGGACCCGTCGAATTTAACTTTTTTTAAAATATTATTCTAAAAACTATCAAAATAATTAACCAAACGGACCCTACAGTCTTCTCAAATAATTTGATTGGGTAATGTTTAGATTTATTATCCACTGGACAGGCCCATCCAAAGCCCAATTATGGCCCACCACTAAGCCCAACTAAGGATCGTCTAAGAAAAAGGCCCAATGTAATTTGAAATGAGTAAAGCCCAATCCAAGAAGTCAATAAAATAACCCTCGCAAAAAGTTTGAAACTCAAAATGACATCCATTTTCCCGCCCATTCTCCCACCCCTTTACATTTTAAACTCAAAACGCATACAAAATCATTTCATATTCTTAAATTATTTTCTTGCCATCTATCAACTAATTTACCAAAATACCCATGTCTTCTTTACCTTCTCACCGGCAAAGGGACCGCGGCGGTGGAACCAAACCCCTAACCCCAAATTCAATCTCCAACAAGAACTCTAATTCAGCTCTCAAGAAATCTTCCTCAGGAAAAGAAAACCCTAGGCCTGCTCTTCGGCCCCAGAAACCCACGATGCGCTCAGTGCCACGTGTTGAGAAATCGGCTGGAGAAAACAGCGATTCACGCGTTCGGTGGTCCACTTCATCGGCCCCAAGAGGTAGGAGCCAGAGTCCATCTGAATTTATTAGGGTTTTTAGTGATATGAAGAAGGATAAGGTTTCTAGGGTTTCTGTTGAGAAAAAAGGGTCTAGGGATTTGAATGTGAAAAGGACTGAATTGGGTAGTCATGAGAAAAGGCGTTTTAGTGATTTCAAAGAAAATAATGGGATTGGTTTTAAGATGGAGAAAAAGTGTGAAAAAGAGATGAATTCAAGTGGGGTTAGGGTTTTAGGTAGTAGTTGTAAAAAAGATGTTACTTTTACCTCAACTTTGGAGAAATCAAATGGAGTTATTAGTGTTAATGGAAACACTGAGAGGTATGATGAAAAGGGTCGTTCATATTTAGGTTCCAAAGTTGAGATTTGTGGTAAAGATGTTAGCTTGAAACGTGATGATAAGGTTGAAAAGATTGATGCTTGTGTTGATTTGGGTTTAAAGGAATCTGATCAGAAATCTTTTAGTGATTCCAAGGTTTTGGAGACTTTTAAAGAGAAGGGTGTCAATGAAGAAGGTTCAAGTGCTCAGGTTGGAATCAAATATCCTAGTAAGCTTCATGAGAAGCTTACCTTCTTAGAAGGAAAGGTGAAGAGAATTGCTTCAGATATCAAGAGGACTAAAGAAATGTTGGATATGAATAACCCGGATGCCACAAAGGTGATTCTTTCTGATATTCAGGAAAAGATAACGGGGATTGAGAAGGCAATGGGTAGTGCCGCAGGTGATTCTGAGGGTAAAATTGCTGGGGTGAAAAATGTGGGAAATGATAATGCAGGTAGCAACATTGCTGAGAAGAGTAAATGTAAAAGAATGGAAAGTGTGAACAGTTTGGGTAATGAATTGAAGAGTGAGGAATTGGAGGCTAGGTTGTTCCCCCATCATAAGTTGCTCAGAAATCGAATCCCGCTGAAATCATCATCAGGGAGCTCTCAAAGTCTTGAACCCAACACTGTTGGATCCAGTAACAACTTAAAGGTGGAGACGTTGTTGAGTCCTGTTGAGGACAACCCAATAGCTTTAGAATTTTTGGCTTCATTGGATAAGGATCAAATTGCAGTTACCTCAACTGATGGACAGGGTGGTTTGGACTTAGAGTGTTGTGAAGTTCTTGAAACAGATGAGGCTGCAAATTCAGGAGAACAAGGTTTGTCAAACATGTTCAATGGTAAAGGTAATGCAGACCTCATTCTTACAACTGATGAAAGGTTTGATGAGTTTGAAGATCAGGAGAATGTACCAGGAAATATAACTGGGGAGGAGACTGAAGATAGTTGCATTTATCAGCTGAATGAAATAGGCCTAAAGACTTCAACGGGAGGATGGTTTGTCTCAGAAGGAGAGTCAGTTCTTCTTGCCCATAATGATGGCTCGTGCTCCTTCTATGATATAGCTAACTGTGAGGTACATAATCTTGTCTGTGTTTAAGGATGTTCATATGAGTCTCTTTGTTAATATTATCAAGTTGCTAACATTTCTGGTAAATGGAATGTTCACTTTAATCAGAACTGTTGCATGCTACTTTCCTAAAGAATTTGCAGATTTTACTAATGCTTCCTTATAATATATCTGAATGTATATCATAATAGTTTTCTGCGGGCTGACTATTAAAACACCATCTCAAGTTTGGAATAAATTAAATAGCTATAAACTTTATCGCTTAAACGATTTAACACACATCGCTTAAGAGATAAGCCTATATCGTTTAAGCGACAAGCTTACATTGCTTAAGCGAGTGGTTATTTAGTAAAGAGTTTGAAACTTCATGGTTATTCAGTTTATTCCAAACTTGAAATGGTATTTTAATTAATTTTCCCAGTTTTCTGGACTCTTAACTCTTCAAGCCAAAGCATGTTTGTACCACAGTTAGACAGGCAGAAATCCATAAGTTTTTATGTAAATAATGTTTTCATGGATGTAAACTAACTAATGGAATAGCACCTTGGATGTCTTTAATGATGATCCATCACTGTTTCAGGATAAGGCTGTGTACAAGCCCCCAGCAGGAGTTTCACTTTCAATCTGGAGAGATTGTTGGATAATTCGTGCAGCTAGTGCAGATGGCTGCTCAGGAAGATATGTTGTGGCTGCATCTGCTGGTAATACTCTAGATTCAGGATTTTGTTCATGGGATTTTTACACCAAAGATGTCCGAGCTTTCCATGTTGAAGATGGAGGAACAACCACTTCAAGAACAGTTCTTGCTCCTTTACCTAATAACAATGTGTATAGTAGAAATGCTTTGTCCAGTGTTTTGCCACCAGAAAGTCAGCAATGGTGGTATAAACCATGTGGGCCTCTTATTGTCTCAACTGCCAGCTCTCAGAGGGTTGTCAAAATCAATGACATCCGAGACGGTGAGCAAATAATGAAATGGGAGGTTCAAAAGCCTGTGTTAACAATGGATTATTCTAGCCCTTTGCAATGGAGAAACAGAGAGAAAGTGGTTATAGCTGAATCTGAATCAATATCCTTGTGGGATGTTAACTCTCTAAATCCTGAACCATTACTATCTGTTTCTTCTGGCCGAAAAATCTCAGCTCTTCATGTTAACAATACTGATGCTGAATTGGGTGGAGGGGTTCGACAAAGGTGAGACTTTACTCCGTGCTTTCACTAGTTGTATCAATTTTCATGTTATATTTCTGGATTTGTTTGTTCGCTTACTGCTCTCTCAGATGCTCTTTCCCGCATATTCTTTTATGCATGATTGATGGGTTTCTATTATTTATCTTCTGATTATGCTTTCTTGTCTCACCTCAATTTTTTATTTTTTTCCCTCCTACTTATCATGCCACTTGTAGGAGATAATACTGCCATCGCTAAGTAAATGAATGTAGTAGTTAATGTAAAAATTGGATGAACATATCGAGAAGCTATAATGTAATATGCTTTGTTGCTTCTAAAATAATTATTTTTTGGAATACAGAGTAACGTCTGCGGAAGCTGAAGGAAATGATGGTGTTTTCTGCACTCATGATTCCATTAACATCTTGGACTTCCGCCATCCCACCGGTGTTGGCCTTAAGATTCCGAAATTTGGTATCAATGTGCAGTCAGTTTATTCTCGTGGGGATTCAGTCTTTCTTGGTTGCAGTAACATAAGGTCAGCAGGAAAAAAGCAGTCCTCTTCACAGGTGCAGCAATTCTCATTGCGGAAACAAAGGCTATTTAGCACTTATTCCCTGCCAGAATCGAGTGCTCACCCAAGTCACTCAGCAATAACACAAGTTTGGGGAAATTCGAATCTGGTCATGGGTGTTTCTGGGCTTGGACTGTTTGTTTTTGATGCACTGGTGGATGATGGATTGCAATCCTTCACAAATGAGTTCAACGGTAACCAAAAAGTCAGAGAAATTATTGGCCCAGATGATTTGTATGCCCCTTCTTTCGATTACCTAGCATCTCGAGTTCTTCTAATATCTAGAGATCGCCCGGCATCATGGAGGCACTTATTTTAGGTATGATACATGC